GGGGGGGGGGGGGGGGGGGGGGGGGGGGGGGGGGGGGGGGGGATCGGCCCAAGTGCGATCGTCCGAGATCGCGAAGCGCTTTTCGAAGTGGATACGCGCCCAGCGGTTGGCCGTGCTGCGAGAATTCGGCGCAGAAGAGGAGGAAGGTGACGGCGGATTGGAAGACCCGGGCCCGTTGACGAAGGGGGAGAGTGGCGCTGGAGCGGGGCAGGGGGGAAACCAACCGCGAGAAATAGGGGAGAACAGCGATGAACCTACGACTGGTACAGATGGCGACGGCGGTGCCACCGCTGGTCGAGAGGAGAGAGAAGAACCCTTCGACGACACGTGGCCGGATGAGGAGAGTGAGGGGGAGGGGCAGGCGGACGAAGAGGTTGGGGAGGCTGAGACGACGCCGGAGGCCGAGACGGCACCAGAGAGTGAAGAGGGCATCGCAGACCAGGGGATCGACGAGGACCAAGCCGAGAGCGACGGATTAGAAAGTAGAGATTGGCTGGAGGGGGATGGGGGCCGCGAGCTCATGAACGTCGTGCGGCAGGCAGAGAGGTCCCCACTTTTGCGGGAGTCAGATAGAGAGGCCACGGCAGCGAGAGACGTCGGGATCGTAGAGACGGGCAGAACCGCGGTCGACGCCATCGACCCAGGGGCTGCCGCAAATGGAGGTCCAACGGATAGTGCTCCTGAAGCCGAAGATTCAGGAGTCGGAGCTGACGAGCCCGTCGTGCAGCGGTCGTCCCCGTCGCAAGAACTGCCTTCGAAACTTTCGGATGGCCGAGGCAGCGGCGACGCTTCGTTGAAACATGTTACGCCCCGCGATGAGGCTACCGAGCGCACCCATACGTTTCACGCCTTCCCCCCTGCCGACACGGTGACTATCTTATGCCGAGGAGAGCCGGTCAATGGGGTGCCAAACCTGCGGGACGATCCCAGTTTTACGTGGGAGGCGGACGGAATCGGGTGAGTCCTCTTGCCTATAGGGTTGGGTATATTTAGTAGGTTCGTTCGTCGTTGTGTCGAAGGGCTTTGATGGCGTTATTGTTGTTGTTGGTTTGCTCCAAAGTTTTCTTCTCGATGGGCGTTTGGGCTAGTTGGACGATATTCGCGTGGGCGAACCCTATCTAGCTAAGTCGATCCGAGAAGCCTGTGGTAGCTGTTGCGTTGATCGTGTAGCGCGTGATTCACCGTTGTGTTTTGCTATTGTGACGAGCGCTTGCTGCTCGATTTGATGGGGAGTGGAGTGCATACCGTTGTCGCGTCTCGCTCCAACTCGAACGGCACCGCGCCATCTCGATACCCTTGCCTTTTTCACTGTTTCGTTCGCAAAGGTCGTTTGCCGTTGATGGGGACACAGGACGACTGTCCTTCCAGCTGCCAGAGCTGAGTGTAGCGGCCAGCTTCCGGTATCGACAGGCTTGGTCAGAAGAGCGGCCGAACTCCGCTGGGCCAGAAGGTTGGCTTCAGAGGACAGGGCTCTTACCGTTGCACTACTTTGTGGTGAGGAAAATGTTTGTGCCTTGTACGAGACGGACAGCGATGCCCGCCTGACCCATCATGTTTTTTTTTAAGCGCACCCTCAACCGTGCACGGAAACCTTCCACCTCATGTTTGTGCAGTTTTGGAAAAGGGGTTGGTGGGTCGACCATTTGTTAGACGTGCAGGCTAGGCCGACCCACTCACTCTGGTGTATTCTACATAACACCGTTGTTTGTTTGCGCGGACAGCACTCCATGGGAAGCGAGGCAGGGTACAGCCTTAAGGCGACAGGCGCACCTAGAGCGGTGGTGGGGCGAGGAAGCATACATATGGAAGCCAACTACGGGGAGTCTTTCCCGACGGGATGGGTCTGGGCGCAGGTGTGTGACCGATATCAAGCGTAAACTGACGTGTTGTTCCAGCGAGTGTGTCGAGTCCGAGCGTTGTTCGTCTGGCTTGATATTTACTGCCTATGTGCTTTCGCCGTTCCGCTGCAAGTCGATCCGCTAAATGTGATTTATAAAGGAGGGGGTGCCATCGATGTCGTACTCCAGGAAATGTTGCTCCCGTCCTCTCTCTGGTTCGCGGATATACACATCGGCACACCGTTATGACTGCTGTCACGCTGCGATTTTGACGGTTCATTGCGACAGGGTTGCAGCGCAACGCAGGGTCTTTGCGGCAACGTCTTCCGTGACGGAGAGCTGACAAACCCCGACGGAGGGTCCGTGCAAGAAGGGTCCGCCCGGAGACGCGCAGCTGGGGGCAAAGCCGACGGCCTCGCGGGTCCCAAAAGGGATTCGGCAACGCCGCGGTTCGTGCTAACGGGGTGAGCACCTTATCGTAGCTTCGACGAGTTGGCGTTGCTTATTGCTGAACCGAGGAGATTTTCTTGCCAGCATCCTTTTCTCGAGGAGACGTGGGCGCGTGTGTGTGTGCGTGTGATTTAATTTTTTTCGTTGCGTTGTTCACCTCGGCGCGCTTCCTCAAGATTTTGACATGCCTCCCCCGCTGTGCGGTGCTTTGCCTTGCTGGAAGAGGACGTTTCGTGATCGGGCCGATAACGACCACCAGCTTCGTTTTGGCGTTTCGATCGGAGCGACATAAGTGGAACTTCCGGACGACGGATCTTGATCGCATCGTGGTGACAGCTAGTCGAAAGGATCATCGGTTAACTCTCGTCGCCAAGTCATGGGGGGACAACCGTGTCCTCAAAGCGGACATTCGCGTGAGTCTGGCCGATAAGGAAGTTGAGCAGCCTCGCGTGAGCATGGGACTCCAGTCTCGAGGTTGAGACTCCCGTCTCACCTGTTTCTCTGGAGAAGTTTGTCGAATTTCGACTTCTACTGTAGGTGCTGAACCTCCTTTCCACCTGATGACCCTGTACGGGGTGAATCGAATTCGCTGTTCTTGTACTTGTTTGTGCACACGCCTAGAACTGGCACGCCTTCACTGCTTTTCCAGGCTCATCTACTCTGTATGCTGACCTTACTGCCCAATATTAGCAACAACATTCCTCGTAGATATGGTGTCATCGTACGCCAGCAACAACATCGACTGCGCTTCTTCCGCTCGCTAACAGCCAAAATATATTTCACCCCGGGCGATTCAGGCACCCGAGGGCTCTTTCGGCTCTGCCATCTACGTGCCGACGCCCGACGGTTTTTCTAACGCCCCGGGTTGTGTCGAGTCATACGCGGCTACAGCCAGGTTTCGACTCTACACGAAAGGGGATAAGTTGGAAGGGGACGGCGTGACTCGGCCCCTGGTGCTGCGGGAAGAGGTCGAATTCAAGGTGAGTAGGCAACAAGGCAAAGAGGTTGGCGTTCCATTCCTGCAGCTAGTGGTGTTTCCCTGGCGTTGGCACTCTCCCGAAGCCAAGCGGAAGTAGGCTCGTACCACTTTTTTATCGACTGCGTGCACTGCCTTGCATCACCTTTCAAGCCGTTCTCGAGACGCGTCACTGCCGTTGTTGCTGCAGTGCATGTAAGGTGCTGTTGATCAATGTAGAGTTTGTTTCGGGGACGGGTTTTCTGTTTCGGGTTTGCAGCAAGCTGTGACAACATACCCAGAGGTATGATAGCCTGCTTTACGACCTGCGAGCGCTGGTACATCTGTCGTAGCGTGGACAGTCAGGCTTGACCTAGTATGTTTGCCAGCATGGTTTCCTTAGCCGGGAGGGACGTTTGCTTTGATCGTACTGCTGTTCTTGTTGAAGCGATTGAGCTACGTGCACTGACCACTCCTTNCCTCTCGACTCTCCGGATGTCTCTACAGTTGGCAGCTTTGGAGTTCGGCGGAGAGTACCAAGACACGTGAGCATGTTGCAGCCCCTTTTGTCGGCACTTTCGTCGTGCCTGTTGGCAACGCGGCGAATGCGTTACGCCTTATGCTCTATTGCACGTCGCTCTTTTGAACCGATACTTGCCAGTGATGTGGCCTGTCGGCTTCTTTCCAAGCACACGTCAGTAGCTACGTTAGGTTGGAGGTGCGAGGTGGACTAGTAGCTGATACGTTTGTCAGTCGTTGGTTTATTGCTTGTTGTGGGATGCATGAAGCACCTGCATAGTTACAGACTATTTGTTGCTTTAAGTGCCGGGAAAATATCCCCAAGACGCCGTCTCCTGTTTTTTTGCATACCTTTTGTGTGTGGTGCCACGGTCTCCTGCTGTGACTGATGTTGCCCATGGGGAACTCACGCGACGGAATATATCATGTCACAAGTCAGGACATAACGCTTGCTTACAAAACTTGTAGTGTGGCGTTCAACGAGTTCATCATCGGGGTGTAACTTAGCGTCCGAAAAGATTGGAAAGACAAGACTGACACTAGAACAAGACCGGGGTGCATTGTTTATTCTACACGTAGCGTACTTGGGCAGCCGTCTGTTCGTGTTGCGGAAATGCCGGGGTTGGTGCACCGGCTCCACCCACTTGCATAAGAACAACTGACGTTGGTACACCGTCCGTCATGTCTGGGGGAAATGTTATCAGAGGGCTCGCGGATTCAAATTCTGGAAGCACTGCCACAAACTGGATGAAGGACCAGATCATCAGTGGGGGGGGGTTATCTACCGTATACGGTGTTTCAACAAGGATTTAGTTTAGTGTTGTATAACCAACATTGTCTGTGTAGGGTGGGCATTAACTGTAATATTACTTCGTACGCCTTTGACTTAGAAGAGGGGTTATAGACCGTGTGATAGGTTTGTACTCGTGTACACATCATCCCATACAGACGTCGTGGTACATGGTTTTTATACGATCCTAAAGCCTATACAAAAAAGAATATATAGACTTACCTATACCCATACTTGATCCTATACAAAAACGCCTTGTACAGACGCCCGAAAAANAGGGGGTAGCCGTGCTTCCAGGATATGGCGAGCTCTCGTTTGGGGGGTCCGTGGATGGCGCTAGAAAGTGTGGCATTTTTCGTTTTTTTTGGCTTTTTCTCGTGGGAAAAAACAAAAGAACGGCAGAGAAAGACAGGGAGGGCCGAAAACGGCTTGCGAAGTATTTTTAAATTATATTGGGTTTTTGGAAACAGGTCAAGTTGGGGCGAAGCCGCGTAGCATCTTCTCTGAGGCATGCCAAATCTAGCCCGAGGCTGGTTCGAATCACTTGTAATCACAGGAAGAATGCGCCATCATTTGGGGGTTCGGTTTTCACGAAATCTCAGACTTTAACACTATCTATAAAACGCAGATGACCTGTGGGTTCTCCGCTGATGACCCGTTGATCAAGATCCATCCGTCGATGCTTTTGAACGGCGATCCGCCACATACTACACAGCTGCTTCTGTTGTTGTTTCAGCCGCCGGTCTGACTGAAACTCCATTTCAACAGATGAAAGCTCAGATCGTGTGGAGACCAGATGAAACAACAGCAGTCCTCCCTTTTGGTACGCACCTTGGCGCCCGGAAATCCGGAAATCTGCCCTCAAGGGTAGGCGGGGACCAGCCTACCCTCAAAACGCCTCCGGAACTAGCCATTACAGAACCGATCTTTGCATTGATCTGCTGCACTCACCACACGACACCCAGCAGCACACAACCGGTCGCCCCGGTGGTCTAGTGGGTCGCCTCGCAACCTGCTAAGGTCCAGGCCATGGGTTCGAGTCCCGACAGAGTGAGTTTTTATCGCTAATTAAATCCTGGTCTCCGTTGGAAGCGATTCGCTGCAAAGCTCGTTGTTGGTAAACTTGATCGACTTCGTAAGTCGCGAGGGAAGTGATTGCTGTACCCTTCTCGCGATTAAATATCTCAGGCAGGAACCGCTGGAGGGGGTCCAACCCCACCCTCCTATGTGACCCCGGTTGGGTCGTCTAGCTGGTAGAAGTGGAGGATAGGGGCCAGAGGGGCAGACGACAGAGCCCAATGACGGGAGAAAAACAAACAAAAAAACAACAAAACAGCAGACGAACAACAGCAGCAGACCCGAGGGTTTCTTCCTCCGGAAGTCTTACCAAATTCACAACGATGAATGCACGGGTTGTTCTCTCAACACTGCCGTTTTCTTTGTCGTGGTCTTGGAAAAATGTTGAAAACCTGTCTAAGCGCTTGTCCTCGGTACAGCACATCTTTCGACCGTGTTGTGGTTGCAAACTTGAATCGCCATACGGAGTGTTATACTGCTGCTTTTTATAGTATAGACTATATCGGCTTCACTGCTGTCCACGACCGAATATACGTATTGCACATGAAAGGCGTTTAGTCATGTTGTGCGTGCTGGCAATAGCACGTTCCTTCGGTTTCAAGACCGACGGCGAAATCAACCCTGCCCGCGCTGACGTATCGCTTCCCCCCGCACAACCGGCACACAATTGTGATTTCAAATTTCGACTCGACTCCCAGGTGGACTGCCAGTTTTACATGGCGGCAAACTGGCCGGCAAATCAAGCAAGTCCTACCATGTCGAGGGTAAGTACGCTGGCGTGTTATACGCTTAGCCGACCGCACATGGAGTGGTGCAAGGCATTTCCCACGCGCATAGTGTCGTTCAGGTTACCGGTGTAGGAGCGCCGCCAGTTAGAATGTAACCCTTTGCATACTCTCACACCCGTTCGGCCCTCTCTCGACACCCGTCTTGTGCGGTGCCCGTGATCGCCGGCTCCAATCCCAATGACTCAGACGCGGATGTGCCTGCACCACTACCTTGGGGGCTCAGCGGCGAGCGGAGGCGAGCATGACCCTCCACGAACGTTCGAAAACGAGATGACCGACGAGGAGATTGAACAGAACACGGCCAAGATCCTTGAGCTGGTACACTAACGGACCGAGTAACCCCACGATCTACCAGCAGCTTCAGACCCCCACGAAGATGTAGGGGGAGAAAGGGAAGGAGAAGGTGAGGACGGGAATACGACGTAACGTGGTGCACGTGTGGGCTCCACGACAAACATGAAGGGCGCAAGCAAGGAGCTGGGCTCCGAGCGGCACTCCGCTCGAAAGGCATCCTCGTTTCGTCGCTCGTGTGTTCGCGGTCGAACGTGCATGTTTGCTTCAGCGTAGTTTAGGCTCGCTTGGCGCCATCAACTCTCTGAAAGATTATTCAAACGTGTGGCCCCTGCCCGACGCTGCGAACATTTTCGCCGTAGGTGAGGACCATCATCAAGCGCTACGAGAACGAAGAAGCCGACAAGCGGCAACATGCCAACGACGCCTAGCAGTTGTTGACAATGCTCCAGCAGGAGAATGTCTGAGTGAGGGTCCAACTGGACAAGGACGGGCGCATTGTGCGCATAGCTTGGGCGCCCGAGGAGCAGAAGACAAATGCACTGCGGTAGTACTCCATCGCCATCCAGGACAACACGTTCGGCACCCACGCGTGAGTTGTTTGGTGGCCTGTATTCTTGACATGTCTGCGTCGTGCGGTGTTCGTTGAGTATTGCCGCTTGAAACACATAGGCCGCTCGCCTATTGCGGAAAACTCCTTCATACCATGCGTGTCCGATTTGTACTCGACTTGTTGGTGGTATTCAACCAGATACAAGCACTGGTCAGCACTAATCGTCATCTTGGACAAGGAGAACTACACCCAGATCGCGATGCAGGCCCTGCTTTCGAACGAGCAAACGGAGGACTTGAAGTTCCTCTTTGGAGTTTTCAGGGAGCTATGCGAGGGGGCGCAACCAGAGGTGAGCACGCCACTCATTTGCAGCGTCCCTGTCGTTGACCTCAATTTGGTGAATGTGTCAGTTATCAGCGTCGTTGCCCCCGCTGCGTCAAAATCGACTTCAGGGAGCGGAAGGCGATGTTGTGGTGTGCTTGTCAAATGTTGTGGCCAACCGCGCACAAGGGCAAAGGTTTCGGCCTGCGTATAGAAGAAAATATCTCGCCATTTCTCAAGCAGCGTGCGTCCCCAGGGCCGTCTGTCGACAGCGACTTAGCGATGAGACTTTCCTGTACAAGTGTCGTTCCATGCTAACCACGGAACAACCGTAGTCATCTTTAGTTGTTAGACAGGCCGGTGAACGCATTCGAGTCAACATTGCGCATCCACTCGCGAGGTCCATGCCCCGGCGGGACACGGCTTCATTGTTTTTGCCTCTGCAAAATGCGTACTGCTATCCCCTCATCAACTACCGCAGTAGCTTCACCTTCTTCTTGTGTGCTCTCGCTGCTGGCCCGCGCGCTTTGAAGGCAAACCGCTGGGGGTGCAATCCACCGCGTGCGCCAACGGACAGCCTCGTCCGCGGAGAGAATGAGGGACGGCTGGCTGGAAGGGTTCGGGTTCGTTGGGAGGGTATGCGACACGCGAAGTGCAGTGCCTTCGCTATGAAAGTCAGTTTTTGGTTCGTAGGTCTGCCGAGGGAACAACCTTTCGGGTATTTCTCCTCTCTCGCCTCGCGCCCTTCATCCTTCCTTCCCCCGCCCACATCTGTCAGTCTGCCGCACTTCTCTACTGGTATCCCTACCGTGGTATCTGCGCTCTTTGTATAGGACTAACAATGATTTTCTTGGGTGGAGATAGGTAACCGGGTGAAGACCGTGCAATTTCAACCATTTGATTTGTATTCTGTCCCCCCCCCCGTTCCTCGCACACCCGCGTCACGTTGTCGTTCCGTCAAATCTTGCAGGACGCGTCGACCGAGGCCTTGGCGGCTATGGGCTACAAGGTCGACATTCTGGCGAGAGGGAACGACAAGGTCCAACTCGAGCTTGCCAGCATGGTGTCGAACCCGGCTAGCGCGGGGTTGTGTTACGACCCCACGTCCGGTGGAGGCGATGGCACGTGGACCACCCGGACGTCCGTCATGTTCTTTGTGGACATGGTGAAGGGCCACGATGTCGACCTACTCGTGCGTATCACCAGGTACTTCCCGAATCCAGCTGGGGGACCCGAGTACCTCGTCGCCCTTGGACCCGATGGATTCGTGCTCTGCACATGCCTGCGGTTGTTGGTCGACGGTCTCTGCTGCCGTATGCCTTCCGGGCCATGCCCGAGATGGACTTCGGCTTCAACGCAGGGTGCATTGCACCCCGCTGGCGTGACGGTGAAATATCGTGGACGCTGGCACCCCTCGCCGCTAAGCGTGCGGTGCCGTCGCACACAAGTGCGGGTCTTCCCGGAGCGCTGCCGCAGGCTCCTGCCGATCCTGGCGTTTTCCCCCACTCCAAACCCACGGCGAGAGCAAGCAACTGGTCCAGCTGCCTCGCCTTCGGGAAGGAGGTCGCATCTCTCATGACAGCGTTCGACTCCGTCGCCCCCTGCCAACGCGTCCTAGGCAACCTGATGAACCACGCAAAGCAGCTCATCGATGTGGAGGTGGCGTCGCAGCATGAGACCTCCACGAGCCGGATTTTCAAGGGAGTCGTTGCCCGGCCTACGACCACCACCGACCCGCCAGAGGAAGATGACGCCCGGACCGCGCCGGGCAGCGGTCGCACGCGAGGAAGCGGCCGAGGGGGAGGCGGGCGGGGGGCGAGGGCACGTGACGGGATCGGTTCAACAGGAAGAGGGGGGGTGGGAGGGGCGCTCCCTGGTGGTTCCGCGGTGGGCATGCCGAGCCTTGAAGTGGTCGTTCCGGCCTACCAACAGGCGGCCGACGCCGGCACCACCAGCCGGGGTGGGGAGGGGGGAGGGCCGGGCCCTCGTGTTTCCGCGGCGGGCATGTCGAGCCTTGCCGTAGGCGTTCCTGCCTTCCAACCGGCGGCTGGCACCGGCGCCACCAGTGGAGGAGGGGACGGGGGAGGGCCGGGCCTTGGTCTTTCGGCGGCGAGCATGCTAAGCCCTGGAGTGGATCTTTCGGCCCGCCGGGCCGGCGGGACTGGCACTGCTGTGGGTATCGGCCCCGCAATCACGAACGGGACACCCCCGATGGGGGGCTTGGGCGCACCGCTTCGCTCCCTGAGCAACGCACCTCGAGGCGGGGTGGGGCAGGTTTCCCTCAGTCTCGCGCCCACGGCTTTTGCCGCGACAAACTCCTGTGCGCCGGAGGGCTTCCAGGAATCAAGATTGAATGGACCAAGACTT